CTTGTATATATTAAGAATGAGTTCTAATGGCCTATCATTAAAATTAACTCTCTTTTATATAATTTAAATTAATAAAATATTTAAGTCTTACGTGAGATTCCAAGAATCTTTGTAGAGATTTAAATTAATTGTATTATCTCTCAATTTATATAATAAATAAATAAATGGATTTTGTAAATAATAACATAATAAATATTTAAAAAATAATTAATTAAATTAAATAATAACCATGTTTACACAATCAGATCTTTTCATCACGTGAAATTTCTAAATCTTCATAGACCTTTAGGATAATCATATTACTGTGTAAGTCAATAAGATTTTGCAGCTATAATAATTATGGTTTTTCATAAAATATAAATTATATATACCTACATAATAAAACAATTAAATTAAAAAAATATTTAAATAAATGTTATCACGTCAAATTTCTAAATCTTCATAGACCTTTAGGATAATCATATTACTGTATAAATTAATAAAATTTTGTAGCTATAATAATTATGGTTTTTCATAAAAATATAAATTATATATACCTGCATAATAAAACAATTAAATTAAAAAAATATTTAAATAAATGTTATCTAATCCTTTTGTCGTATGATATTTTTGAATCTCTGCAAACATTTAAGATAATCATATTATTATGTGAGTCATTAAGACTTTGCAAGTATAATGATTAAGATTTTATATATAATCTATTTGATTCTTTTGTTGTGTGAGGTTTTAGAATCTCCATAGATACTTAAATTAATCATATTACTATGTGAGTCAATAAGGCTCCACAAGTATAACGGTTAAATTTTTAAAAAATGTTAAAAAAAATTAAACTCTTTTTCTTCTTATTTCAAAATGTTAAAAATTGAGAAAATAATTGAAATTAAATTACTTTTTTGCAAGTTGAAACACACACATCCAAATTTCAGAAAATTATTATTTTTGCAAAATAGTAAGTTATTTTTCAATAATTTCTCTTCAAAAAATAATAAAATACTAACAAATAAAATTACAATCTCAAACTATGTAGGCCTTGATCCCTCTAGCAGGGTATGTAATGTCTGCCTTGATATTATCAGGACAACACTCACACATCGTTGTGATAACTCGGGTTTAATAAAATCCACTGAAGAAGTTACCACAACTCAAGGGTTTGAAGATAATTAGTTAAAATATTGAGATCTCAAGAAAACCCTTTTTAAGATATTGTTTGAGCTTAAACCGTGGTTAAAAATCAATTAAAAGCAAATACGGAAGCATGGGAAACAAACGGCATCAAAATCTAGCTTAAACGCCATTTTTCAGCAAATACTAGTCCGACATGGCGGCGGATGGCACAAAGGGATGAATCACTCGAGGGCCTCTTACGCCGTGGCGCAATAATCATGCTTCTCGACACGCACTTGCCATCATTGCTGTCATGACTTTTCTCCAAACTTCCGGAGTGTGCCGTTTCGCCATTTGACATTTGATTTGAGCAGTTCAAATGTCCACACGAAGGTCATTGAGCCCTTTAGCTAACGGCACTGGTCTCACGCTTAAACAATCATCCACTTAAAAGATGGATACTCAAACCCAAAATGGTACGTTTTCACAACAAAACATATAGTATGGTGTCCAACTCACAATACATAATGTCATTAGTCCTAGAGACACCTTGACCACCTCAAATGGACCACACACCACATAACAATCCATTCATATCACACAATTAAACAATAACGTTCAAAATGACCACCAAAGCCCTATTGGACAAAAACACAATGGGGTGAACAAAATTCAACACATCAATCAATTGTTCATTTTGACACTCAAAACACTTGCAATATATATATATATATATCACTTATAAGCAACTTGGCCAAGCACACACCTAATCCATAACAACATTCTTGGACCAAGATATACACACTTATCACAAATTCATACAAGTGATATCTAAATAATGTCATGTTCCTAAGTTGGCAATATTTAGTAACAATATTCAGTGACGCACTGAGTCACCCGTCACGGCGTAAGGCACAAAAAGCCCCACAAAATTTTAAGCTTTCTTTCATTCCATGGCCCGTTTGAACCTCAACCTAGCCCTCTTCTAAGGCTGTCCAAGAATCCAAAAACGATATTAGTTATCATAAACCTTACTAATTAACAATTTATCTAAATTGACCAAATTACCTCTTGAAAACACTGATAATTACTAATGAGGGAACTTAGGATGTTACAGGGTACGTAAGCCCTATGCTCTCATTCTAAGCCAAGTCTAACTTTTAAATAAATATTATTTTTTCTTTTCATTTTTTAAAGTTAATTTTAAATTTTTCTTTTTAAATTTATTTTAGCAGGTGAATAATCAAAAGAGTAGTTAAAATAATTTTAAAAGGCTATACTAATTGAATAATTAACTACGGTAACTGTTCTATGCAATGGGTGTTGGAGGTGTGTAAAACCTTTCCCACTCACTATTGACTCCCGAACTTATCTCTAATTATGAAGACCATCATTATCACCTTTAATTGGTTTCTTAAGATTTTTCCTTAAAATCTCGGTGGCGGCTCTCTTCCTCTTTTCCCTCACAATGAATGGGTGATTGCGTCACATGGCGAGCGCAACAATTGGCACTTGGTATATGAGTTTGGACACCTTGGCTGTTGTTTTGAAAAGAAAATGTACCATTTTGTGTCCAAATGTTTAATTTTCAAATGGTTGAGTTTTTGAATGTGTGATTAGTGCCAATAGCTAAGTGGCTCTAAAAGGTAGTGTAGACACTTAAATTGCTCAAATCGAATGACAGATAATGAAATGGGCGCTTTGAAAGTTGGTTCGGAGTGTTGTTATGACAGCAGATGCACACTGCTATGCATGACAGTTGTGCTATAGCACAAATGCTTAGCGCGAGCCTTGGCTCTCTATGCTATTCGCTGCGACGAGGAAGGCTTACACTCCGATAGATAGGGTTAAATTTTCAAAAAATTTCTAGATTGTTTTAATATTGTTTTTAAGTATTGTCTGTTTATTTTCATACTTCTGTTATCTTATTTAATTTTCTTTAAAATGTAGTTTGAGCTCAAACATATTTTAAAAATTTTTTTCTTGGGATCCCAATTTCTTAAACCTTTTTTATAACCCTAGTGTTATGATAATTATTTTGTGGGATTTGATTAGTCCCAATTATCATAATGGTGTCTTATGTGTTTGGTAATATCGAGAATGACGTTACACATAGTGTACATGGAATTGTCCTCTGGCAATATAGATAAGAATTGAATGTAAATTTACGATATTGTACAAGACTAACAATATATGGGTTAATGTAAACAGATGAGATTTTGGGCCTTAGCTTTAGTGGAATCGAAGTCTCGGGCATTGGGCTCTAGTGATCGACACTCTCATGCTCAGAACTCGCTCATTTTTTAGGTTAGACATGTGTACTGCATACATGATCAGTTGATAGTTGTGATATTTTGATGAATAAATGAATCCAAGATGCTCGGGAAATTACCTCGTACATTTTTGCCATGTCATGCTAGGTGTTTACTCAGTGCAGCACGTCTTGGAATGAAGTCTAAGGGCCTATTTGGATTCTATTATCATTTTGTTTTAAAAAATTATTTTGTAATGCAGTTTTTATTTTTTTTCAAAACAAAACAAAGTGAAAATATGTTTGGTTATATTAATTTAAAAGTAGTTTTAGAATTAAAAAAATAAACTAATAATGATAATTATAGATAGTCAATAGTAATGATTTATAATAAAAATTGATCAAAGTAATCGTAATTTTCAATAATCAAACCTAGTGTATTTTGAAAACAAGAAAAAACTTAAAAAAACTTGATATTTTTCTATTTTTTATGTTTTTTCTATTTTTAAAAACTGCTTTTTATTTTTCAAACAAGAAAAAATTAAAAATTTGTTTGGATAAGTGTTTTAAATAAGTTTCAAATAGTAATAAATTTAACAGTGGGGACAAAATTGTTTCAAGTTTAATTGTTTAAGATTTAAAATATATCCAATAAGAGTTCAAAATTCAAATCACATTTAAACATATAATTCATAATCCAAATTGCATATTAACCTTACTTTAAAAGAAAATAAAATATTATGAATTAAAATTTTCATGCAAGCATAAAAAGATTACATTGTAAAATTTAATAATTAGATAACATAATACTTCCTCTGTTTACCATTACAAGTCAATTTTTGAAGATTTTATTTTCCAATTTACAAGTCATTTTGTAGATTATTGCGAGTAATTAATGTATTTATTCTAAAAATTCTCCTGATAAATAAAAAATTAGTTAATTCTTATTAACGTGGTTCATTCTTCATCAAGCGAGTCAGCTGTGGTGAATGAAGGGGATATTTAGACAAACAAAAATGGTTTAGCAACATGAACTAATTTCATTAGTTTGTTCTAGTTAAGATGTGAAAATTTCTTTTAATAGTAAACAGAAGTGTACAAAAAAAAAAAAAGTTTTGATAGCTTATCAGCCTTATCTCAATACAAGTCTCTCGGGTGATGATTGACACAAAATTCCTCTCAAAGAAATGGGCATTTTGAGCCAAGGTTCTATCGGCATTATTCTGTTTCTGTTCAAGTCCTTTATACCATACCATACACCCTTCTTGGCTGCAAAAAGATAATTAAGATAGACTCTTTCAACTTTATATTGAATCCAAATCTAATAATTAATACCCTCTTTCAATCTTATTCATAAAACATCTTTTAAAATTAATTTTTAATTTAAAATATAAAACACCTTATAATAATTAAATTACTTTTTTTAATTTTATTTTTTCTTAATTAACGTGAAAACATTTAATATAATTCTATTATTATTAAAAACCAATGATAAAAATAAAAATACCTCACTTTTTTATAATATAAAAAAATTAACTTTTTTTAATATGCGTAACAGTTAAAAGTATTCTATAATAAAAATTAAAAAAAAAAGTACATTTTAACCTTGCAGAGACATCATTTCAGACAAAGTCGGGAGGCTATGTAAATTGAAGTCGATCACTTAAAAATTAGCGCCAACCTACCGAGTACACAGCTTATACAACTTTGAAGACATGGTATGTCAAAACCGATCTTCAGCTTCTTCAGCTGCTATTTGGTAACTATTACCAACATTGAATTTTTGCTGAGCCATGAAACCACGGGAAATTTTCTGTTCAGCTACGTAAAAATACATTTAACCTTATCAATGGCTTAGGATAAAGGAGTGGAGGTAAAGTTAATCATTTAATAAACTAATTTTCCTAGTTTGTCATGACTCGTCTTGAGCTTCAGCAGCAGCTATTTCTGAATCTAACTTGTTAATTAGCTGCTCACTCACATGCTTGGCCACAGATATCATATCAAGAATGATGCTAGGATCCAACCCTGCACCCCCTCGTTTGGTTATACCACAGATGTTCCATTTCCTATTAACAGAAATAGATACAGCAGAACTCATTTGTGATTCCTCTTCCGAAGTGGCATCAACAATATAGTGCCTACCAACCTGTTACCAAGGGCCACTGTTAGAATTTTTGTCAGAATATACAGGGATGGGAGAACTATCAAGCATGGACATGGGACACGCCACTAGCCGAACATAATATGTTGATCATGTAAGTTAAAGTTCCATGCTATGTCTAATATGAGGATTAGAAGATGTGCGAAACTAAAAACAACTATTTTTAAGTGGTCATATTTCATCATAGACGACGAGAATACAACCTTAGTCAGGGTAACTATAACAGGGACTGCAGATGTGTCAAACTGCAGAAACTCTTCATCGCTAATGTCAACTTCTGGTTGCTCATCACTAGATGCACCAGCAGAAACACGGACTCTTGGGATGCCCGTATTGCTCAAAGCAGCCTTGAAGAATAACAACAATAAACTGTCATCAAGTCCTCCATAAAGGCCTCGAGCAATAGTATTGGATTCTTGAAACCATAAAAAAGAAAATCAATATAGAAAAAAACAAGTCTAGTAAAACGTTTTCAGCATTGCATGTTTTTTGGAAACTTCTGAGCTACTTTTTTTTTTAAAAAAAAATGTTATTCCACAGCTTTTCCCCCAGCCCATATATGTGTCCCTGTTATCGACAGCTCAAAATTGACGCATGGAAAAAATTGAGAAGTCATAAGCATCAATTTTATCAGCATAAAGGGGCAACATGAGAAATGCTAATTTGCAGTTCTGTGACAAAAAACCCAATATAATCGTCTTCCAAGCTAGTAATAGTTTGAACAGTAAAGGCTGTTACCTTAATGGAAGCTCCTAGGGCATCTAACAAATTTCCATCTGAGCTAATAACCAGCCCATCAATGTAAAGATCCCAACAAATTTTTCCCTCCACAACAACCAGCGAAGAGAGATCAATTCCAGCACCTAAGAAAATAGCCTAGCGGTTAAGAGCTAGAATTTAAATTTCAATAGAAAGAAACAATGCAGAAGGGAAAGTATGTGGTAAAATTAATGCAGACCTGCCCCACTTTTACCACCCAAGAGACAACGCTGAAGAGCAACTGACAGTTCTGTTGACAATTCCTCACCTCCTTTACCCTATCGTCAAGTATAAATGGATAAACACATGTAGCCCAAAAAGATACGTATATTTAAGTTATTAGCTGAATAGTGACCTAAAAAATGTTCCTCAAGTCTTGCAAGCTTAAAACCTATTGCTCCGTATGGTAAATTTTCAAGGATGGTTACTTTGCTTTGTTAATAATGCTCATAGGAATTGAAGTTTAAATTATGAGGAAATAACCACCATATCCAGAAGACTTCTCTAAACAAAGAGGTTGAGAAACTGGCAGAGTTAAATAGGAAACCTCAAAAGCTGGCTCAGCAGTTGGGCTGCAATCAATACGTATAGAGACTTTCCCTTTGTTAGGTTGCAATGAGTTTGGCTTTCCTAATTCAGCCTGCACTTAAAGCCAATATATATCATGATTTAGTCAAATGGCCAACAAGAAGTTTAAGTAACTTATACAATGATACAAAAGGAAGCTAGTCCTAAACCAAAAATATGTCCTAAAACCATAAAATACCTTCACACTGGCAATGACATCCGTGGCACCCATTCTGACTCTTGCTGAACCATTTGCCTGCATGAAGTCCATGAAACGCAGAAATTAAAACTACATAGAGAATGCAAAATCCACATGGTCAGGTAGCCATGAAAAACCCTGGGTGAAAATGTCAGATTACTCTTTCAATTCATTCGTGTACTACCTGAGGAATAACACCAGTTTCAACATAGATGGGCCGATATGTCAGTCTCTTCCTACCATCAGAGCGGAGGTCCTGAGCAATACCTCCTTGTATAAATTGCTTTTCTCCAAGGGATAAACCCACCATTCTTGTACATGCGAAAATCGTGCAAAATCCAAAGCTTTAAAAACTGAACTGGCCATCGAACCGGTCAAGTTAGTGGTTTACAATTCAATGGTCAGACCATGGTAAAATAGGTCAACAATAAATTAGTATATTTTAAACTTAAATAATATACATTTAGAAACTATTAATTAAATTCCTATGTGAGCATAAAAATGTCATTTAAAATTAAAAAATCACAAATATTAATATCAAATCCATAATATAACAGCCAAACCCATAACATAACAATCCAACATCGAAGATAAAATCATCCAACATCCTTACACATAAGTTTAACCCATAATTAATACATTCTTCCCAAGTCCAAATTGATGACCAGAAATTATTAACAATCACTAAAAATTTAAATTTAAACAAACAGAAATTGAAATGATAAAATCACTAAATCAGAAACAATCAACCATGAAAATGGAAGCATGTCAGGGTGAGGACGAGTTGTTTTCATTTTATGCTTAAACGAAAGAATAAACATGCAATTTTACCACCAAAAAAAAATATTAAAGAAAGAATAAACATGCAACTAGAGATGAGACAACAGAGTGAGGACGAGAGATTTGGTCTTTAAGATGTGTATGTTGACTTGAAGCGACAGAGTCAAATATGTGCTTCCAGATGAAGATTAATAAAGCAAGACCACAATTTTAATTATATGCTTCCGGATGAAGATTACTAAAGCAATTAGAGAGACAAACCTAGGGAGAAGGGTGAGACTGTCAGAGACGAGCACGGACCCAACAGGGGAACTGGGTCTGGATTCTGGAACACCGAACTCGACCTTGGGGTAGAGAGAGACGACGATGGAGAACGGGTACCACTTCGGAGTTCAGGCTTTCAGAGCTTTGGATTTCAGATGGAGGTGCCGAGGTGCCCAGGAGCCGAGTTCAACCTTTGCTCCAGAGTTCAGGGACGCTCGCTAACACCGCCGTCGTCCAGGGAGAGATTCCAGAGCCAGATTCGTTCGACAGGGCGGGGCTAGGTAGGGCAACATCTAATTAGAACGATAGATCACTGTAGAATATAAAAATATATTTAAAATTTCTTCTTTTAAACACAACATTTTTTTTGTCTTTGAAAATTAAATTTACAAATTTGGTCAAAAAAAAATTAAATTTACAAATAGTCATATTAAAATATTTTATTTTTTATACTTTTTACTTGGTAATGAATTGTGAAATAAAATAAATTGTTTAAATTTACGTAAAATTTGTGTTTTTATTTTTCAAAGTACTAAATTTAACGTTAAAACACTTTGTATTTTTAAAAATAAACTATGTTGTTTAATTTTTTAGAACAAATTTAGATACTTAATCTAATACATGTAATATATTTTAATTCAATCAAATCAAAATAATTTGATTTTAACGTGTTAATAATATTAATAATAAAATTTTATTATAAAATAAATAATTTATAAATAATATAAATATTATTATTTAATTAAAAATAAACACCTTAAATGTATAAGGTTAAATATATAATTTTTTTTATTTTTTTAATACACATGGAGCAACAAATTATAAAATAGAATAATTTATTATCTTCATTTTATGATATCATTTTAATATATTTTTTATTTATGTACGTTCTGTTGGAAATTGTGCTTTAAGGCCAATCATTGTACTATACATATTGTTATTTAATAAATTTTTCTTTTGTTATCATATCAATGGCATGTTCACTATGATAACTGTATCCTTGGACAAATTATAGTAATTGTCCTAAATATTTCCAGTCGGTTATTTATGACGGATCATAGATGAAGCAAGACTAGTATAACTTTGATTAATTGTATCAAAGTCTTAAACACTTGAAAGAATACAAGGTGCTCAACCGATCCATTATGAGAAAGTTGCACGGTATAAATTATAAGCTTATCTCATATGTAAATATATTACTAAGCCCTTTAACCTAAGATCATCTTGGATTCCTACATAATGATCACTAAACTTTGACCTAGTCAAAAGTCACCTTTGACCAGGCGATTATAAAGGCTATAATTGAGTTTAGTAATATTCATACAGAAAAATATGAGTGGTTAAGATAAAATTTGTCCCTCACATTAAGTGGGAGATATTACTAGGTCCATCAGTGAGTAAGATTGAGAAAATGTATGGCCATACTACAATGGAAAGGGTTTTTCCATTAATACAGTCAGTCCACTCAGAGATCAAGAAAGTAATGGTTAGGTAAAGAAAAATGACAATACTATTGAAAATTGTGTCATAGGGTCAATCATTGTACTATGCACATTGTTATTTAATGAATTTCTCTTTTGTTATCATAACAATTGCATGTTCAATATGATAACTGTATCCTTGGATAAACTATAGTGATTGTCATAAATATCCCTGGTCAGTCATCTTTGAGGGACTATAAATAAAACAAAATTAGTATGACTTTGATTAATTATAGAGATACAAATTAAAGTCATAGGCACTTAAAAGAGTACAAGATGTTGGATCGACCTGCTATAAGAAGGCTACATGGTATAAGTCATAAGTTTATCATATGTGTAACTATATCACTAAGTCCTTTGACTTGAGATCATGATGGATTCCTACATGATGATTACTAAACTTTGACCTAGTCAAAAGTCACCTTTGATCGGGTGATCATAAAGGCTATGATTGAGTTTAGTGATATTCATGCAGAGGAATATGGATAGTCAAGATGAAATTTGTCTCTCACATTAAGTGAGAGATATTACTGAGGCCCTCGATGAATAAAACTGAGAAAATATATGGCCATACTATAATGGAAAGGGTTTTTCCATTACTACTGTCAGTCTACTTAGAGATTGAAAAAGTAACAGTCAGGTAAAGAAGAATGACAATTTCATGTCTCATACTTGACCGAAATATCGCGTGACAAAAGGAATGTGACTTAGTTGCGTAATAGGTTACATCAGATCATCGATCCCTATATGTCTTCCTAATAAGCAAATACATGTTGTTGGGCCAGTGAAGTATGTCCACTGAGCTTCATCAATATTTATTGTCCTATTTAGCTCTTGAAAAATAATGTTCACTTCCTGTGCTTTGATAATGGAGATCTTATATCTGAGGTCTTCATCGCTCATAATGTTTTCTTTTTCTTCTTGGTCATACTCAAATGGTCTTCTTGTTAAACTTGTAAAATCTAAAAAACAAGAAAAATATGCTTGTATAGTATTAGAAAAGAAATACTCTATAGAATCCACTTTAACAGAAGGAGTATTAAGAATACTTTTAATAAGTAAAGCATTAATAAATGCTGAAATTAATAAATTATCATTTAAAGATGAAGTAACCAAAATATATACTAGTGAAAAATTTAATGATTCTTAAACTAGATATCATTCTAATTGGAAAGAATTTTTAGCAACAGTAAAAGCTTTACAAAAGTTTGAATTATTTATTGTAAACACTAGATTCATTATAAGAACTAATAATACTCAAGAAAAATATTGGTTGAATAAAGGAATAAAGACAACTCAATTATGTAACAAAATATTAATTAAATGACAATCTGATATGTCTTATCATGATTATGAAATTGAATATATCAAAGGTAAGAATAATCTTGTTGTTGATTATCTGTTCAGATGAAGCCAAATAGAAAAGAGACAAGTATGATGACAAATAATAGTGGTGGTGGTTCACAACCAGGACCAATAATGACCCTATTAAATTAAGTAATCATGAAGGTAAATATTTTGGAGATGAATATGAACCTTCTTGTTGGACAACTAAATACAAGTATCTAATCATTATCTGGAATAGTAGCTCATCTTAGAGATGAGGTGAATGTTTTGACAAGTAAAGTAGAGGCCTTAGAAAAATCTAAGGAACCATTATCTCAATCCCCTGAAAGACAAGTAAAACAAGTAATTGAGTCATCTACTCAAACTCTTGATTTTCTACTCCAGCCTCATAGTCCAACTAGATTTGGTCCAATAATTCCATTCACTGAAATAGTAAAAGAAGCCCAAAAGTCTAAAGCCCAAATAGTGACAAAAACACCTCAAAATAGTCCATCTACTTCTACTTCTTCTAGAAGAAGAAGTCCAAGCCCAATAACTTCTCCATCTTTTAAAACTCTAGACCAATTCAACCACTTTAAATCCTGATTAATAAGGCCAATCATTTTGCCCTTCCTAACACCAATAACATCAAATATGTTTCCCATCATTCCTTTAATAAAGTTATGTTTATCCAAACACTAACCCTAAACTTATAAAAAACCTTTTTAGTTATGGCCTTATTCACTCAATATATCCATCTAATGATATATCCAAAATATCAAAAATTCCAGAGTCTATCAAAGAAGCTGCCAAACACTATTTTGAAATTGTAACTCAATATTGAGTTTTTAGCTGGTATTACTTAATAATAGTAGAAATAACTCTTGACAAATTTTATCCCCCAATTAATCTAATTAAATTTGGGACAACAAGAAGACCATTTGAGTATAATCAAGAAGGAAAAGAATAACAGGTATGGTTGAGTAATTTTTTTTTAGGGCTTAAGGGGGATTATTATCTAGTACTTAACAAAGTTTTGAATTTTCGCAATGATCCTATAAGGAGAATTACTGGTTATGTGTTGTTGTGGCTACGCCTCTAGTAGGAAATGAAAGAAGGCTGTGCTGTGCTAGTCTGAAGAAAGTGGTTCTGTAAAAGATCTATAGCTAGATTTGAGAGACTGCCGGCTTGTTAATCTTAATATGAAAGAGGACTGAGAACCTTTCATGCTCTGATATGACCCAGATCAGTATCAGTCAAACCTTGTAGTAGCATATAGCCAGCTGTTTAAGTTATGGTATCATATATATATATACATATATATATATATATATATATATGTATATGTATATGATATATAAAATTAAATATAGATAATATATATATATATATATATATATTCAAAATATATGTGTGTGTGTATATATTCATTTATATATAATAATATAATATAATATCATATAGTACATCTGAAGGATTGTATGAATGGAATGTATTACCTATAGGATTTCATAATAGTCCTAGTATATTTCAAGAGTATGTGACAAAATTATTATTACCAATAAAAGATTTTCCTGTAATATATATAGATGATATTTTAATATTCTCAAAAGATAAAGAAGAAAATGAAAAACACTTAGAGAAATTTATAGATCTTATAGAAGAAAAAAGATTAAATATATCACCTAATAAAGCTGAATTAAAAAATAAGAAAGAATAGAATTTTTAGGGCAGTACAAAACTAATAATGGAATAGAGTTACAATAATATATTAATAAGAAAATATTAGAAGTTGATGAAATTAAAAATAAAAAAGAACTTCAATCATTTTTAGAATTATATTCTAAATTTATCAAAATTAACAGCAAAAGTAAGTAAACTAACTGGAGAAAAAATAGTATGGATATGGGATAAAGATAAAGAAAAAATAGTAAATCAGATAAAAACTTTATGTCAAAATCTACCTAAATTAATTATCCCAGTAAACAATGATGTAATATGGATAATATATATAGATGCTAGTAAAAATTATTGGGGAGCAGCTTTATATCACATTAATGAAGTAGAAGAAGAAGTAATAACCAGATATGCTAGCAGAAAATTTAATGATTCTCAAACTAAATATCATTCTAATTGGAAAGAATTCTTAGCAATAGTAAAAGCTGTATAAAAGTTTGAATTATTTATTGTTAAAATTAGATTTATTATAAGAATTGATAATACTCAAGTAAAACATTGGTTAAATAAAAGAATAAAGATAACTCAATTATGTAATAAGATGTTAATTAAGTGGCAATCAGATATGTCTTATTATGATTATAAAATTGAATA